ACATGTACAGGCACTCACGCTCAAGTGTGTGCACAAGGCACACATACATGTGTACATACGCACAGGGACACATACATACACATGCATATTTGCACACACATACACACTGTTACTGTGGCCCCAAACACTGTCCGCAATGTCCCTGCACGTCCCTTTCTTCACTGCGACTGCTGATTTAAAACACAGCACCTTCCCCGTGAGCCCGAAATAATCCGTTCACCAGGCTCGCGGTTTTTCGTGCCCACAGAGCGGCTTCCTCGGGGAGCCCCGCGTCCTCTGGAAGGGGTTAAGTGCGCTTGGGAACGGACATGACAAACAAACATGTTGATCCTGCGGTTCCACTCAGGTGCTAGGAAGGAAGCGGAGATTTCCGGGTGGCGTGAAGGACAGGACGAGGGCGGGGCTGCAGGAGGCGACCGCCCCGCCCCGCCCGCGCGCCCGCCGTCCCCCGCGCGCCCAGAAGGGGGAGCAAAGGCAGTGTTTCCACGGAGTCATGTCTAAATTCACCTCTTCTCCGAATGTCTTAATTGCAGCAGTAATGTGTACTCGTTAGCGCAACGCTGCTCACCTCGGTCCCGGTGGTGGTGCTGTCTGCTGCGTGTCCACACCCCACGTCGTTCTCTGTGTTCATCAAAGCACGTGTTTTAGCCCTGCGCGCTGAGCTCCACGCTGACGGCACCGCCTGTTGCGCACTGGACAATGCCTTTTGGGTGTCTGATGTATGCTGTCGCCTCTGAAACCGTGGATCTACCCGCTCCAGCCCCCTTGGCTCCCTTGTGTGGAGAAAAAGACCCCGCCTTCGGGAGAATGCAGCCCAGGCAGGCCCAAGGCATGAGCCGCCTCCAGCTGGGCACCGTTATGTTGCTCGCACCCCACCCCCACCGCCCTGCAGCCCTGCATCACCGCTGGGGGGAGGCAGACAAGGGAAAGCAGGGTCCCTCCCCTCAGGGACAGCCCCAGGACAAAGGGACCCAAGGGAAAGAGACCCCCCAGGGGTCATCCAAGCGACACACTACCAGCCCCTTAAAGGAGGAGGCAATTTGGTGATGGTTGAATCCAGGATTCCACAGCAAGAATGGAAACGCTTCGTGATCATTTTGCAGACACCATAACAGTATGGAACCAGTGGCCACATTAGCCGTTGGGTCCAGAGCCTTCCCCCTTCAGAGAGCATCTGAGTCCCTGTTGGGGACTCTAGCCCCATAGGATCCTCAGTCCAGCTGCCTGCCCCACTCCAGGAAGTGGATCTCGAGGTGGTGAGGACCCTACCGAGCGGCGGTTGGTGGTAGGTCCGTCTGTCCACAGCTGGACTGGGCTACGAGCAGGAGTTGCTGCCCACAGGGCGGCACATCCCCTCTTTAATGCCCCTTGTTCTGCCTTCTTTTTTGACTCTGGGAGTCCCCAACACCCTCCCAATAAATTTCCTTTTGGTTAAGTCACCCAAAGCCAGTTTCTACAGGTTGGTTGTGACAAAAGAATGCTAAGTGGCACAGAAAGAAATTAAATGCTAACACCCCACCCTCCTGGTCCCAGCAAATGTGTGATGGGCAAGAGGAACTGGACACACTGGACAGAGTCCCTGCTGTCATCGTGGAACAGGTCCAGGAGCACAGAAGCTGACATAGATGGGCTCAGCGTACTGTGCAGAGTGTTTGGGGTGGAGGATTCGAGACTGCTTCCTGGGGATCCACCTGTGCCCACCCTGCCCCCCACTCCTGGGAGATGGGCCCTCCTGGGGGAAGAGCCACATCTGAACAGCATGACCTCCTTCCTCTCCTTTGTCCCTTCTGACTGGGCAAGTCACTGACTACCTCCCAGTGTGTGCTGACCAGGCCAGTCCCTCCCTGAAAGTTCCTGAGGAAGGAGTAGGATAGGGGGAGAATTTGTGGTGGCCAGTGGGGCTGAGCCTTCTTGAGAACTTCTTCCACATTCCTCAGCTGATCTTGAGTAAGAACAAACCTGCCAGAAATCCTAAGGGATGGTCAGTCAGCCCCTGCTCCACGCGGGATCCCCCAAAGGCCTGAACTGTAGGTCATGCACTCCAGCATGGCAGGTTCTGTCTGGATAGAAGCGGTGGGGTTCTGCAGAGGTGGGATCTGCACGGGGTGGCACATGGGAAGAGCAGGGAGCCAGCAGGCCCTTATGCACCAGGTAAACACAAGGGGACAGCTGCTCTTGTCTGCTCTAAATTTGCACAAAGGAAACAAAAAATAAAAGCAATGTTGTCTTTTTGTCTTCAACTCAAATAATGGTTGAGACAGTTTTGACAGTGGAATTGTTTCCATTCATTGGATTCTTTAGCTCCAAGACTTCTGTTTGGTTCTTTTTTATGATATCTATCTCTTTTATGAATTTCTCAGATTATGAATTGTTTCCCTGATTTCTTGGAATTGTCTATCTGTACTCTTTTGTGTCTCGCTGAGTTTCCTTAAGATCTTTACTCTGAAATCCTTTTCGGGCCTTTCATAGATTTCTTTTTCTTTGGGGCTTGTCACTGGAGAATTATGGTGTTCCTTTGGAGGTATCACTTCCTTGCTTTTTCATGTTTCTGGTGTCCCTACATTGATATCTGCACATCTAATGGAACAGTCACCTTTTCCAGTTTTATGGAGTAGCTTTTGTAGGGAAAGACTTTTTGCTGTAGGTACAACCTATCGTGTTGGTTGAGTAGCACGCTTTGCTTGTGGTTCTGGGTGGGTGCAGTGGTGTAGTGTGAATCCTTTGGCTGTAATCAATGTCAGCAGCGTCTGTAAGCGCCTCAGTGGCCTAGACTGAGGATGTTTGTGGAGGCCGTGGTGTGGCTTTGCTGGGGGTGGGATTGCTGCTGGTGGTGGGCTCGAGGGGCCTGCTCTCAGGCCCTGGGAGCATGCATGTTAGCTCCCCCAATCCTGGGGGCAGAAGCCCATCTGTGCTGAACCCTGTGTTTCTTAGGGCATAGGGCACAGTGTGGGCGCAAGTGCTGGGGTCATGGCCGTACCGCTGGGCCCAGTTGGAGTCGTGGTGCTGCAGGTCTTTTGTGTGAGTGTGGTGGGGTGATGGGTGTGGGGAGCCAGGCATGTGGAGATGAAGGACTGCCGGGCCCCGGGACAGGATACACTGCAGCGGTGGCTCCATTCTCAAAATGGCAATGTGCTGCCGCAGCTCGGGTCCCAGGGGGCGAGGGGCCTCGGCACGAGTTCCCACTCTGGAGTACTGCGGCCGTGGGGACTCTGGGCAGCTCCCTATGCTGGGCTCAGACCTGTGAAGCCTGTGAGGCTCTCCTGTAGCTAGGATTGCAGGCATCCATGGTGGCAAAGGGGACCGCTGGGGACCTCCTGCACACCTGCTCCTACAGTGGGGAGCTCTCCAGCTCTGGGCCAATCCAGGCTGGTGCCCCCTTCCCCTCTCTGTGCTGCCATTCTGAGTTTCCACGCTTCAGAGGGTTTCCGTCACTTCCTTGCTGAATTCTAGTGTTCTCCCTAGACACTGCACTGGAAGTGCAGTTATCTATTTGTTGCTTGGTCCTTCTTTGTGGAGGACACAAGCATTGGGCACCACAAGTCAGCCTTCTCGATGATGTCCCTGGTGCTGAGTTGTTTTGTCCCCATTTCTGCAAAGCTGTTTGTGTGAGAGGACTTCTCTTTCCCACTCACAGGTACGAGGGAGCACCTGGGTCAGTGCAGGCTGGCTTTGAATTGCGTGATGCTAGGCTTGTGACCTCGAGTGCTGTAGGACAGGAACCGAGGCCTGAGACAAGCTGACAAGGGCTGTATGCTGAGACATATGCCAGTTCCATAAAACGTGACCCGGGTGTCAGGGAGATGCCTGTGCTGCGTGTTGACCTCCACCCCACCTCACACCTGCACGTCCCCACCATACCTGTGCACACATCTGCAAACCAGGTGGGGCCAGCTCATGGCTGTGGTCTCGGGGCTGTGGCACCTTCAACCCTGACTCTGAGGGCGAGATTTCCTAGCGTCCCCCTTCAGGGGCTGCCGTTTACTTCCTCATCACCCTCACCCAGGCTCAGAAGACCTTTGGACCCCCCACTTGGTGGGGGGAGGGTATTCACCAGACTTCCTGGTCCTGGGTCTTGCTCCCTGTGCTCTTTTGAGGACATAAAAACTGCTGCTCCTTTGACAGATCAGCAGCCTGAGTGCAGGCTTCGGACCTCAGCTGTCAGTGGGTGGTTCCAGGACTTGCTGGTGATTCTCCTCCCAGCTGGCACGTTAGCTGCTCAGAAAGGCTGGGGGTGAAAATCCTGGGTGCCACCACCAACCTGTGGGGCCAAGAGCTGGTGCTAAATGCTCCTGCTCCTGTCCTCCAGGCGGATGGTTCAGGAAGGGCACCTGGCCTTAAGGAAGGGCCTGGTACTGGCTTTTCCTCCTTCCCTGACACACTTTTGCCCACCCTTCACTTCAGCATGTGTGTGACTTCTGGCCTGGGGACCTCTAGGTTGACAGGGGCCTGCAGCAGGGTTAGAGAGAGCGTCGTCTGCCCAGGTGCGGTGCGAAAATCCCGGCCTGCGCGCACGTGCGCGTGCAGTCGCAGACGCAGGTGGAGGCAGGGAGCGTGGAGGACGCCGTTTATGACACAAAGACCCAGGAGGACCCTCAAGGTGGTTTGATTCAGGCGGGGGTTGGGATGGGGGGAAATAGAGCGAAGGGCAGACTGAAGGGTGATGGGCCAGGGCAAAGGTCACCGAGGCCTGCAGCTCCAGTGACTGGGAAACGCAGAGCACAGAACACAGATGAACAGGGTGGGAGGGGAAAGGGCGCCTGTGAGTCCGAAGTGACTGTGGCATCCACCAGGAGCCGCCCAGTACCGAACGCGGCAGCACCTGGAGGGTCAGCACGGCACACACCGCTGCCCAGTGGTCTCCACAGGGGCAGAGCGCAGGGGCCCTGGGCACACGGAGGCCAGTGAGTGGGTAGAAGGGATGGCGCCAGGGAGGGAGACCTCAGGACCGACCGAGCCTGGGATGGCGGCCGAGCTCCCGCAGACCTGAGCAGCCGGCGGGGTGGAAGGCAGGCAGGTGAAGGACGCACCCGCATGTCCAACAGCCGTCCTAAGGGCCAGCCCGGAGGGAAAGGCCAACCGTACAAAACCCCTGGAGAGCTATTGGAGGGCGGGGCCAAACCACGCGGAGGCGGGGCCAGCTGGGCGCTGGACAAGGGCGGCGGGAGGGCAGGGAGCGTTCCCACCTGACTGAGAGGTAGCGCAGAGGCGGAAGGTGGTGACAGTCTCCCTAGCACAGCTGCACAGGTCTGGGGGCCACACCCCGGATGCCCTCGTACAGGTGGGTGAAGCTTCAAATGTAGACACTCAAGGGGGGTATCTGCCTCTTTACAACTTTACCTGAGTTAGTAGGAAAGTTTTCTCACAAATATTCTTGTCTTCTTGAACAAGCAGAATGTTCCAGCATGCTGGTCAAGAAGCTGCATTTCCATCATGTGACCGGTCTGTGTCCCTGATCTGTCTCTTGGTGGGGCCTCAGATCAACTTGTGCTGCTCATGCGCTAACGGTCTGAGCCACTTACGGATTCTGAACATCGCGGCTCTGTCTCCGTTTGCTGGCTCACAGAGGCTGTGTGGTTTTCACAGACAGCACCTGTGAGATCTGACGTAGTGAATTTGTCTGTACCCCCTTTCCCTCGCGCTTCCACAGCCTGCACCTGCTGTCTGCCGGGTGCAAACGGGTCCCGGGCACAGAGGGAGGGACACAACCCACCCTCGGGTGGCGCTGACTCCCACCTTGGAGCTGGGGCCATCTGCAATCATCTAAGGGCACCTATTTTCTTCTGTGGAGAATTTTTTCATTCTTTTTTTTTTTTTTTTGAGACAGAGTCTCACTCTGTTGCCCTGGCTAGAGTGAGTGCCGTGGCGTCAGCCTAGCTCACAGCAACTTCAAACTCCTGGGCTCAAGTGATCCTTCTGCCTCAGCCTCCCGAGTAGCTGGGACTACAGGCATGCGCCACCGTGCCTGGCTAATTTTTTCTATATATTTTTAGCTGTCCAGATAATTTCTTTCTATTTTTTTTAGTAGAGACGGGGTCTCACTCTTGCTCAGGCTGGTCTCGAACTCCTGAGCTCTAACAATCCGCCGGCCTTGGCCTCCCAGAGTGCTAGGATTACAGGCGTGAGCCACCGCGTCTGGCCTGAGAATTTTTTAAATACCAATTTTAAGATCTAAGTAGATTGTTTTCCAAGGAGGTCACGCCCCCGCCCCCACTGACCTGAGTCATGCCGGTTCCCGCCCAGGGCATGGGAAAGGGATCCCCGTTTCATGGCCAGCTCCTTCTCTCTCTGGCCTCAGTGTCCTCTCTGGCCAGCCCAGTGGATTTGGGAAGAATCTCCACGGGTTCCTCCAGATGTGGCACTTCAGGTGAGGCCCCAGCACGATTTCGCAAAACACTGAAGGGGTGACATGTCTCTTGATTCCCACGACCCCATTACCCTGGGGTCCCTGTCCCCACTGCGATGGGCAGCACCTGGGCACCTGGGCCTGCGTCTCGGCAACCCCCCTAGAAACAGCCGAGGTCACACCAAGCAGAGAGTTTATTGAGGCCATGGGCAAGGCCCACGTACACAGCGTGGGGCAGAGGCGGGGCAGATACACTCTGGACTGCGGGAGTGTGTTAGCAGCGGCAAAGCAGATGACGGCGTAACGGGGCCCGGAGGGGGCACCCTCCTCCTAGCAGCATCTGGGAGCTTCAGGTGAGCATCAAGAACCACCCCTCATCTCCCCAAGGCTCTTCGGGGAACCCCTCCCTGCTTCCCCCAGAGCTCCACGTGGGGTGGGAGTGGGAGGTCCCTCTCTTTGTCCCTGTAGTCAAGGATGGGATGATCCCTTGAGATTCACTATAAAAATTAAAATTCCTTTATAAATTACAGGGGAGGAGCAGGAGGGGATCATTTTGGAGACTGACATCACCGTCACCTAGAGCCTCACCTTCCTGCACACCCCCCAAATTCTGACCCCAAAGTAAAGGGCAAAGGGCAAGGTTTGCAGGCACAAAGATGGGCAGAGAGACATGGAGGAAGAGGGGAAAGGGAGGCTGAGGGACAGATGAGGATGATAGAGAAAGGGTCAGAGGAAAAGTGGAGCCCAGGGAGCTCTACTCCCCCGCAGCCGTGCCCTGGGGATGGAGGACGAGGGTTCCCAGCCCGAAGACTCCCACGAACGTAAGGTCCCCCCTGCCCCATCCAGTCTTTGCCAAAGCCACGGTGGCCTCTCGAGACGTGCCCAGCCCTGGCGGTGCCAGAGCAGATGGGACAGGAGGCGGAGAGGGCGGGCGGCTACTCCAGGTAGATGTCCTCTGTGGGGCAGGCGTAGGCCAGGTGCTCCTGGTAGTACTCCAGGAAGGCGCGGCTGGGGGGAGAGGGTCCTCTACCAGCCACTGGGGGCTGCTCCTCCACCCCCCAGCTCTCCACAAGCCCCCACCCACCCGGACACCACACGTCATGGCCCAGCTCCGACCCCCGGCTCTCCGGGCCCAGTGGCTGCGTCCACACCACAGTGCTCCACCCCAGCCCCACCTGGGCCCTGTGCCTGCACCACCTCCGTCCCCAGGGGCCACCCCCCAGGCTCCTGCCCCAAACTTCATCCCGCCACCGCCCACCTTCTCCACTCAGCATACCTGGTTCTCCTGCCCCGACCTCCCCTGCAAGTCTCCTGCTCACCTCCCCACGCCACCTCCATACCCCGGTTCCAGTTCTGCATCCCCACCCCACGCCCAGGGACCCTGCTCACCCCACGCTCTGCGCCACCGGCCTCATGGACTCCTGGGAGACAAAGACATGGCAGGCGAAGCGACTCAGCAGGGGGTGTTTGGTGATGAAGCCAAAATAGCTGTGGGGAGGGCAGCGTGGAGGGGGCGTCAGAGCACTGACCCCAAGTGATGCAGAGACAAGAGGCAGGAACAAAGGGCTTGGGGGGAGGGGACGGCACAGGAGTGTGGAGGTCACATGATTTTAAGATTTGAAGGTGTCTTTCTGGTCCCAGCCCAAGCACAGTGCTGGGAACTTACAAGGAGTTTGAGTTCTAAGTTACCTCCTTGACGACCAGGGGCATCCGGCCCATGCTGGAACATCCGCTGTGGGTGCATCTTCCTTCCCTGACCCAGTGCCGCCCCTGCTCGGTGGCCCACACAGAGCCTGCCCCAGGACCACAGAGCAAGGCCTCTGCCGCGGCCTCTGGACATGTGTCTCCAGCCAACTCCGACCTGCTCAGGCCTCCTCCTGTGGGCCCACCCAGCCCCACCTCTGCCCCTGCAAACTCACAGCTACTTTCCTAGCACGGACACAGGGCTTGACATCACCTCCATCTGCTAAACCCGCTTAGATTCCATCACTTGATCCAACTGCAGAAGCACCTCCACCCCGGCCCTCCGCTTGTTTAGTCACTGCCCCAGCTCTGTTTCATTTCTGCCTGTCGTCTTCTCATCCACGAGAGGAATAAAAATTACTCTCCAGAGGGAGGGGAAGTCGGAGTCCTGTGACATGAGACTCCAGGCCCCCGCCCCATCCCCACCCCCCAAACTGTGGCTGATCTGATCCATTCCCTCGTGGCTTTGGGGTTTTGTGGTCCCACCAGATGGGAAGCCACATGACATAATGTCATTGCCAGGACAATGTGCTTGTGTTGTCCACGAACGTACCACAAGACCTGTCCCAAATGCTGTCTTCAAATAATTATAATAATAATCAATGGTGTTTGTTAGATGTTGCTAAGTATTACTAAGACATCATCCTAAACACTTTATATTATTAACTCATGTAAACCTCACAATAAGGTAGGTGTCCTGATACCTAGGCACAGAGAGGGTTGGTATATTGCCCAAGGACACACAGCCGGGCTGTGGCAGCACTGGGAGCAAAGGCAGCAGGGAGCAAACGCCTACCTCATCCCAACGCAGCACACCCCATGCATTCCTGACCTGCCCCTAGTCCACAATGAGATAAATGAGTTAACCATTTGCCTAATACCGTTTGTTTCGTGCTTCCTCACTGCGAGGGACTGGGCTGGGTTCTGGGGTAAGCGGTGTTAGGACGCACTAATATCCTTGTTTCTCAACAGAGGGGAACTGGATGCCCCGAGCTCAGGCCTCCAGGCTGGACACGGTCACAGCTGGAATTCCATGAGAGAAACAGCAGCTCCTCAGCCTCCCCCCACCTCCCAGCTTGACCCCAAGCCAACCTGTCTGGCCATCTTTCTCCCATGGATGAGAAACAGGAGCTGTTCTTCCCCTCCCGGCAGTGCCATCTGCAGCCCTCTGTGTCCGGGCCCCAGAGCTGGCCCTGGCGCTGTCCCGGCTCCCCACCCACTGAGCAGCTTCTCAACTGTGGATGCCACCAAGCCCCTCCGTCCTCGGTGAAGGAGACGCAGACGGCTCAGCACCCTCCAGCCCGCAGACAGAGCCCTCCTCGTTCTCTTCACCATGGGAGTCCAAACGACTCCCGCGTGCCCCCACATCTGCCACAGCCTCAGTCCTGGCCGCATTGTGCCCACCCTGCGTCCTGCCTGCCCACAAGTACCTGCTTCCTCCCACTGCCCCAGTCCTTTTGAGCCCCTGGTTGGCTGGTCTGTCTGTGTGGTTGCTCCTCCTCTCTCCTTCATTGAGGACACCAGGACCCTGTGCGCGGGGGTCTGTGCCTGGGAGGAAGCCTGCATCCCCACCCCCCCGCCTGCTGCTCCTGTGCCAGCAGCTCTGTCCCCTTTCTCTCCTCTCCACAGTCTGGCCGTCTCAGCCACCACATGGTCTCGGGACTCTGCCTGCTCCATCTGGTACCTTCCCGCCAGGCCTCGCTTCCGAACTCCAGATCCATGTAACCAGTGGCCACTTCGGTCTCGTTGTGTCTATGATGGATCCCCCATCTCCTCTCAGTGTGTGGGTCCCCCTCTACCCATCACCCAGGTGGACATCGCCCTCAACTTCCTCCAGGTTGGCCTCCACAGCCAGTCAGGGCCTGTTTGTCCCAGCTCTTAAGTGCCTCTTGCATCTGCACACTTCCCGTCATGACATGGCCCCGGATGACCTCAGCGGTCACCTGGTCTCTGACCGGCAGCAGCTGGGTCCATCCTCTCCGCACAGCAGCCAGAGCCAGCTGTCACCCTGCGTCCCGCCCTTCCATAAGGACCCTTCTTGGCCCCATCACCAGCAGGATGAAATGCAAGCTCCCTGGCACCCCTCGATGCTCCCTCACACCCGACCCCCGAGCTCCTGGCGCCCCTGCATCTCCTCAGCCGGCTCCCTGCCGAGAAGACCCACACCCGCCCCCCCACTGCCCGCTTATCTTTTGAGTTTTACCTTCCTGAATCCCAGGAGAACCCGCCCACCTCTGTGGGCCTGCTCCCTGGGGCCCACGCAGATGACCACCAGACCACCCATGGAGGTTCCTGGCATTCCTTGTCTGTGTGTCCGTCAGGCCCAGACCAGGAGGCAGCCCGTCCGATCCACATCTCCAGCCCAGCCCGGTGCGGGCGCCAAGTGAGTGCAGGAGGAGCTCTTGGGGTGGGGATTGGGGTGTGGGCAGACTCGGGGCTTTTGGGGACTCTGGGGGAAGGTAAGGCTCTCACCAGCTGTTGCGGGGGTGGCAGCCGCAGAACGAGATGTTCTTCATCTGGAAGAAGTGGCTGCAGCGCTGGAACTGGAGCCGAGGGGGCAGAGCATCCAAGTCAGACGGCAGCCCGGGGTCCCTCCTGCCCCTGCCCGCTGGACGTCCCTGCCGTCCTGTCCCTCGGTCTTACCCTGCCCCCCACAGCCTCCCCAGGCCCCCACCTCAGGCCCTCCTCCACTCAGACTCAGCTTGACACCCCGAAGAGAGATCTCGAGGTCACAGGAAGCAGGAGGACGCAGATGGACAGTCAGTTTCCGGGCGGTGGCAATCTGAGGAAGAAGTTGGGGGAGAAGAGGGTCTTGAGGAGCCTATAAGGGCCTCTTTTTCTTCCCTTGGCAGAACTTTGCCTCTGCTCTTTTTAGCTTATGTTTGAAGACGCTTGGCACTGAAGACGCGTGAGATGCAATTCCGGAAGATGTGAGCGGCCTTGACCGTTCGATCCTTGGTTTCAGGACGAGCTGGTCATCTCTCTGCACTCAGCCTGCTTCACTTTCCTTCCGTTCCTCAGGTGGCAGCAACACAGCCCCCAACCCGCCCTGGCCTCCTCACTGCCTGGTGCCTGCAAGCTCCCTGGGGGCTCTTGCATGCAGGGTTGGTTGTTTCCTGCTCCCTACTGCCCCCCAGCCTCAGTCACAGGACTGGCAGATGGGCAGGTGCTCACCAAATGTCTGCTGAGTGACTGAACAAGTGAGCAGATGACCCCAGGGAAGGGGCTGTGAGAGCTGGTCTCAGTTTTCAGGCAGGAGGAGGATGGGCTGAAGGGGAGGAGGGGCCAGTGGGAAGGTGGAGGCCCCGGTGAGCTGGCCAAGAGACCCAGAGGTGATGGGCACAGCTGCTGGGCCCTGCCCTAGGCCTGTCTGCTCACACTTGACTCAGGGCCAAGGGTGCCCCCCACTGAGCTGCTGCTCCCCAGAGGGGGTGAGAGGCCTTGGAGCCTCGAGAGCTGTGCCAGCCTGTGGTGCTGGTGTGGCTGCCACGTGGGCTCTCTGCCCGCGTTCGCCCCGCCTGCACACTGACCTTCTGCATGGCCGCACACAGGATGCCATTGCCCTGGTGGCAGGGCACCTCCACCGAGCCCAGGAACTGCACATCGAAGCGCTCCACCCAGCAGGGGCTCCGCTTGCTCCCTGGGGGCACACAGGGCCCAGGTCAGATGGTGGCGGGGAGGGTCTGGGGGGAAAAGCTGCCCCTGCCCCTGGGGATGGGCCTCACCCAGCAGGTCCTTGGTGGGGCCAGGCACTGCGTGGGCGTAGAAGGCGGGGAACACACCACGCTCCCCTGTGCGCATATTGAAGCCACGGAACCAGAAGTCATCCTCCTCGGCCTCCACCAGCACAGGGTCGTCCACATCCAGCTCTAGCTCATCCGGATGTCGAGGGATGAACCTGAAGTCGGGAGAGAGGTCACTGGGGGGCGGGGGAACCAGGACCGCCTGGGCCGTGTCCACCCGTGTCCCGTGATGTCTGTGGACCGAGGGTAGGGATCGCCAGTGGCAGGGAGGGAGGCTGTACCTGAAGACAGCCCGGTGAGTCTGCTCTCGCTCCTCCCCGTTGACCACACAGGAGAAAAGGCCAAAGGACTCAGTGCCTGAGAGACAGAGACAGGAGACGTAGTGACTCCAAGTGGGCGAGGAAAGTACTTGAAGGCCTGGCCTTGGCCAGAGCCAAGACCCTCCCCTCAGCAGCCTGGTGCAGGGGTCCTGAGTCAGGGAGGGAAGGAGAAGCACCCCATTGGAGGCCGGGGGCAGAGCAGGCCCCCCCACCCCATTACTGCCCAGAGGGCGTTCTGGGGGGTACTCCAGGCTGATGTCCTAGGTAAGAGACGGTGCCCAGCACTGACCACCCCCAGGCCTTCAGGCCACTCTGGGCACTTTGGGGGACTGTGTGGGACCTAAGGCCAGGGAGTCTCGCCTGTTCCTCTAGGGCCACCCCCATTCCCCGCCTCTCACTCACTGGAGGACCGAGATGTGCTGTTGACAAAGACGTTGAGGAACTTCTTGGAGAAGGTGAGGTCAGGGCTGTCGGGAGAGGCGTCCCCAGGGCCCTGACCACCGTCCAGCAGCGCAGTCCCTGCCTCCTCCTCGCTGGCCTCGCCTCCGCTGTCCTCTTCGCTGTCGCTGCCGAGGCCGGCGCAGCGCCGCAGGCTCACCAGCTCCAGCTGCGTGTGCTCATCCACCACCAGCGTGTACTTGACGGCGTCGTACACCAGCGAGGCGTCCAGTGGTGGCGCAGGGCCCGTGCCCCTGCCCCCCGGGGGCTCTGTGCTGTCCTCGGCATCGTCCTCGTCCTCCTCATCCTCTTCCTCCTCCTCCTCCTCCGAGCAGGTAGCAAAGCAGGCTCGGCCTGGCCGGGTGGCGCGGCCGGGCGTGGCCCACAGCGGCGTGATGGTGTCGCGCGTGGGGTTGCTGAGGAAGAGGCAGGGCCCGGGCTGCGCAGGGCCGGGCCGAGGCGCTGCGGGTGCTGGGGGCGGCGGCCCGCACAACGTCTCAATGTCCACCAACTCCACGCCCCCTGGCGCCGCTGTCACTTCGGGGTCCTCGGAGCGCTCCGGGGCCCCGCCCGCCGGTGACGCGGGCTCCCCAGGCGGGCGCGACGCGGGAGACAGGCACTGGCCAGGGCAGCGGATGGGCGAGGAGCCCTCGGAGATCATGCGGGTCACCAGGTTGCTGAGCAGCCAGGGCGAGTCCGCGTCCTCACTGAGGTCCGGCTCCGATTCCGACCCCGACTCGTACTCGCTGTTGGTGTCGTCGGGGCCCACGGGCAGGAAGGCGGGGCGGCGCGGGGGTTCCCGCGGGGGCTCCGGCTCCGGCTCCGAGGCGGGCGACGAGGCCTCCTCGATGGAGTTGGTGAGGTGCGAGGAGCGGCCGCTGCTGCTGCTGCCGCCGTCACTGCTCAGCTCCAGCTCCGTCTCCGAGATGGACGAGATCATGCGCCCCAGGCGCGCGCCGCCAGCGTCCTCCGAGTCCGAGCCCGGCGATGACAGCTCCTGGCTGCTGCGACGTCCCCCGTGGCCCCCGCTCGAGCGGCTTCTCAGGTCGGCCTCAATGCCGGGATCCGAGGAGGGCGAAGCCCCGGCTGGCGCCGGGAGCTCCGCAGGCCGGTTCCCTTCGCAGTCGCAGCCCAGGCGCACGGGTGACGGCGCCTCACCAGGCCCCGCGTCCGTGGGCAGGAGGGGGCCAGGGAGCTCTGCTGGGCAGTGGAAACCATCCCCATCACCACGAGCCAGGCCTCCTTCCTGCAGCCAGCGCGTTCTCCCTCCCCCTCCCTCAACCCTGCCAGCCCCCCAACCCCTCACCTCTGAGGGGCTCCTTGGGGGGTGAACACAGCGCTGTCTCCTGCCAGGAGGCTGGGGGCACTGGGGCAAAGCCTCCGTTGTTGTTCAGGGAGTCCTGGGGTGGAGGGACAAGAGAGTAGGCTTAGGGGGTTCCAACTCCCAGGGCTGAGAGGGACCAGCTGCCATGGGCGCAGAATCCAGGTACTGTGAACCAGGCTCAGCTCCAGGTGCTGTGGGTCATGCGCTCACCTGGGCACCAAGTGTAGTCAGGTGGAGTGTAGTGGGCCGGTGCTTGTGGGGCTCCTCCAGGGAAGGGGAGGGGATAAGGGGCTCTGGGGCAGGTGCCTCTGAGCCAGGGCCTCCTCCCTCCTTGCCATCCCCATCGCCCTCCTCATCATCGTCCTCCTCTTCCTCATCATCGTCCTCCTCCTCCTCTTCATTGTCATCGATCATCTCAAACTCCTGGAAGTCATCCTGGAAGGAGCAGATGGGGTGTGGCTGCTCCGAGCGCCCCAGGGAGAGGCTGTCCTGCAGGAGGGAGAGAGGGATGGAGAGGGCAGGGCTGGGCCAGGGTGCAGCAGTGACCCAGCATCCCAGGTGACAGGAAAGGGGAAAGCAGGGAGCAGCAAGTCAAAGGAGAGCCCCTTCCAGTTCAGTCTGCCCCCATCAACAGAGTGACGGTTCTGAAAGTCTGCGTAAGATACGTAGGAATCAGTCCAGTTCTTGGGAAGAGCACAAACTGCTAAGGCTGGATGATGGAGATTCTCAGAGTGGCCCCAACTCACTTTCTAGCTTCATATCTTCCCCAAACCCCGTCACATTCCGCACAACACTGTTTCCTTCATAGCATTTTAACGCAATTTGCAGTTACTGTACGTGGCTTTTGGTCTGTCTCCCCCACCAGACTGCAAGCCCCACCAGGGCAGGGTCATGTCCATACTGCACACTGAGGCACCTCACCCCCCAAAACAAGAACGAGGGCTCAGGAGATGTCCAGTAAATAGCAAAGGAATGTGTAAAGGAAGAGACAGCCTGCACTCTGAGGATTCACCAAGCTGTACCAACCCCAGGGCCTCTGGCACAATCCCTCTGCTGGCAATGCCTCTCCTCCATTTCCTCCTACCTACCCCATCTGCCTGGCTCCTGCGAACCTCAGGACGTGGTTGACATTTCCTCTGGAAATGTCAGTCTGGATTGGGTTCCCTTCCCCCTCATCGACCCTGTGTCCCTGCTGGAATCCCACCCTGGACACCTGGACAGCCATTGTCTCTTTCGTGTCTTTCTCCCTACTAGGTTGCAAGCTCCTGAGGGCAGCTGTGCTGTTCCACTCCCAGCACCTGGAAACCCCCAGCACTTGCCACAGGGAGTTGCTCAGAAATTCTTGAATGAATGAAAACAGAAATGTGGAGTGGGGGGAGCAGCAGGAGGTAGGGGGAAAAAAGGTTTCTGGGGTGGAGACATGAGACAGATAGATGGAAGCTGCAGAGGTGGGGACAGGGCTGGGAGGCGACCAGGTGGAGATGACAGCTGGAAGGGGTTAGATCTTTGCGGGAAGTGATCTGAGGACAGAGGGCACCCAAAGCAAAGGAACACCTGCCCTCCCCCAGGCTAGTCAGCTGATTGGGGTCGGGGAGGACTGCTAGAGAGCCCCTTGGTGGAGGGCCTACAATGTGTTGGAACAAGAGAATTTGGATTCCAAGGAAACCCCAAGGCCAAGAGGCTAAAGAGGGGGGCGATCAGAGATCACACCCACCCTAAACCCCAAGTGAATGATAAGCAGGGCCTAAGTGAGGGCCTCCTTGGGCTGGTTCTGTGCACCCGACTCTTTCCCCACCTTCTCGCAGTGATCTGAGTCGTAGCTGAGGCCCAGGCCACAGTCATCGGTGATCTCAGACAGGTCTTCGTCGTCAAATTCTTCCAGGCTTATGTCCTGGGGAGGCCTGGAGAGGAGGCTGAAGTCAGAGAGCCACCAACCCTGGACTCCCTGCCTGGGAGCTGGCCCTGAGGAGGGGCCGAGGGAGACCTCCAGCTCCCAGGCCCTGCGTTCTCCAGAGCCTCCAACTCCCGGACCCAGATCCTGCCGTCACCTTGACCCCCAAGCTCCGCTCTCCGGAGGATCCCTTCCCCCATCTGAGCCAGTCCAGCCCGGAGGAGCCAACCCTCCCCCAACCCCCTCCCACCCCTCCTCCCTCCACGCTCGGCTCCAGGCCCCTCTGGGTCACAGCCTCAGCCTCAGGGGAGTCAGCCTGAGCAGAGGGGGGGAGGGGGAGCTGAGGCTGCAGCAGCAGCAGGAGAGGGAGGGGTCGAGCTGCTCCGGGAGCAGGGTCCGGCCTGTTTGTCTCCCCCTCTCCTGCTCAGGGCGGGCCTAAACCCAGAGGTCCAGCCCCCTCCGCACCCCAGTCCTTGCCCGCAGGGCTCCAGGCTTGATTTCAACTCTCTCCTGCCCGGGCCCTACCGGCCAGGTCGGGGCCTCCCCTGAAGGCCCAAAGGACACTGCCAGGCTCAAAGGGTGTTCCCAGCATCCTGCCCAGCTGGGTGCGGCGCAGCGTCCCAGCGGGAAATGGGAGGGGGGACACCCGGGCTGGACGACAGGCGGCAAAGATGGAGAGGCTGAACCGAGGGGTGGGGGCGGGGAGCAGGAGTCGGAGCTCCGGGGCCCGAGCGCGGGGCCCGGGTCTGCAGGGCGCCGGGGCCGTGGCAGGACAGGTCGGAGGAGTCTGGGGCCGGCCAGCGGGGGCCGCGGGCAGGGCAGGGCCCGCGCGGCCCGCGGCGCCCGGTGCGTACCTGCAGCCCGGCGGCGACAGCGAGTGGAAGGTGGAGAGAGAAAACATCTCCGCGCGATCCGCCATCTTCTCCGGGAGAGGCCCGCGGCCGCGGCGGGGAGGGAACGCCGGCCCGCGCCCGCGCCCTCGCCCGCGCCCGCGCGCAGCCCCCGCCTCACCTCGTGACACGCCCTGCGACACCGCCGCCGACCCGCTCGCCGCGCTGCCAGGACGCCGCGGCAGCCGAGCCGCAGGGC